CGGACGGAAGCAGACATTGGAGAGATTCAAGGCCATAAGCCAGGGAATGTGGAAAAGACAAGGAAATAGATTCTCCCCTAGAGCCTCCAGAAGGTAGACAGCCCAGCAATGCCTTGATTTTAACCAAATAAGATCCATTTTGGACTTCTGGCCTCCAGAACTGTAAGAGAATAAATTTGTGTTGGTTTAAGCCACTAAGTTTGTGGTAAATTTGTTACAGCAACAATAGGAAACTAATTCAGATTTTCTAAATGCACGACTAAAGCTCAGGTGCAGAGATGATAATTAGTACCATTATGATATTGTAACAATCATTTGCAAGAGCTCACTGTGAGCCTGGGTCTGTGCTAAACTCTTTACCTGCATCGTCTCATTGAATCCTTACACCACCAGAGGGTTAGACTCTATTCTTCTCTCCATTTTACAGATGAGAGGACTGAGGCACCCAGTGGTTAAATTACTTGCCCAAGATGCCTGGCTAGTATGTGGCAGTGTTGCGACTTGAAGCCAGGTCACTGGTCAGTTTGCTCTTAATCACTCTGTGACATAGTTTCTTGCTAAGAAAAAACTTGACTGTTCAATGAATAAAATACTGAGCGAATGTGCAGGGCCTGGGTGGGTAGAGAGAGGGGGGATGGTATTCAAGGAGGGTGACACCAGAGGCCGAGCTGTCTCCCCAGGCAAGCGCGCCAGTGTAATCTATGTCTCTTCTGTGGTCACTGACAGTGGGGCCTTCTAGCCGCAACTGGGCCTCAAGAGGCCAAACCCCTCTCCCATCTTCTCCCTCATCCCTCCTCTTATGAATTGAATTGTGTCCCCCCAAAATATGTGTCAACTTGGCTAGGCCATGATTCCCAGTATTGTGTGATTGTCCACCATTTCGTCATCTGATGTGATTTTCCTATGTGTTGTAAATCCTGCCTCTATGATGTTAATGAGGCAGGATTAGAGACAGTTCTGTTAATGAGGCAGGACTCAATCTATAAGATTAGGTTGTGTTTTGAGTCAATCTCTTTTGAGATATAAAAAAGAGAAGTGAGCAGAGACAGGGGGACCCCATACCACCAAGAAAGAAGCTCCAGGAGTGCAGTACATCTTTTGGACCAGGGGTCCCTGTGCTGAGAAGCTCCTAGACCAGGGGAAGATTGATGGCAAGGACCTTCCCCCAGAACTGACAGAGAGAGAAAGACTTCCCCTGGAGCTGGCACCCTGAATTCAACTTGTAGCATCCTAGACTGTGAGAGAATAAATCTCTGTTTGTTAAAGCCACTCACTTGTGGTATTTCTGTTATAGCAGCACTACATAACTAAGACACCTACCCAGCCATTGGTCACCTGCCCCTGCCCCTCTATCCTTCAGAGGCAGAGCTTCCTAACATTCATCCTAACCTGATGATCACAGTGCAAAGAGACAATGCTGATGTTGGCACATGACACTGGGGCAAACTGAGGGGGTTTGGAGACATCTGTATGGAGCCTGGAGCCCTGATGACACAGTGATTAAGCACTCAACTGTTAACCAAAAGGTCAGCGCGGTTCAAACCCACCAGCCATTCCGTGAGAGAAAGATGTGGCAGTCTGCTTCCATAAAGATGTACAGCCTTGGAAACCCTATGGCGCCGTTCTACTCTGTCCTACAGGGTCACTATGACTGGGAAGAGACTCGACAACAGTGGGTTTGGTATTGGTTTTTATATGGAGCCTGGTGGGGCAAAAAATGATTACATTTTCTTCGTCTCATACAATTGTGATGATAAAAATAAAATACAAAGTATTAAGAAAGACTAAATTTTGAATGTTATGGGTTGAATTGTGTCCTCTAAAAAGGTGTGTTGACGTCCTAATCCCCAGTACCTGTGAGTGTGACCTTATTTAGAAATAGCATCTTTGCAGATGTAATTAGTTAACTTGAGGTCATACAGGAGTAGGGTGGACCCTAATCCAATATGACTTGTGTCCTTATAAAAAGAGAAGAGACACAGAGACAGACAGACACAGAGGAGCAGACGTCATGTGACAACAGAGGCAGAGATTGGAGCGATGCTACCACAAACGAAGGAACACCAGGGACTACAGAAGCTGGTAGAGGCAAGGAAGGATCTGCCCCGAGAGCCTTTGGAGAGAGCATGGCTCTGCAGATGCCTTGAATTTGAACTTCTAGTTTCCGTAACTGTGAGAGATTAAATTTCTGTTGTTTTAAGCCCCCCACTTTGTGGTAATTTGTTACAGCAGTCCTAGGAGACTAGTACTCTGAATTTGCATAAAACATCCAAATGAAATTGCCTGGGTTTTTTAACATAAGAAGTTTGAGTTTGCTTCCGCGAACACAACTTGTTAATATCAGACTTTATGCATAAAATGACCACACGCAATACCTATTCAAGGCTCTTTAATGATGATCTCTTCAAATGTTTGAAGTATCCACCCAAGTAGGTGATAAATTTAGGACTAATTTTTACAACGATGCAAGAATTTACAACAGTTTGGATGATATTTAAAGATTCTAACACTCTCCCTTTACTTTCAATGACAGATGTCACCAAAATCCTTGTGATAATGAGAAGAATGGATTTAGAATCCAACCAAACTTTTTTTAATGTCAAGTATTTTTAAATAATCTTGAAGTTAGAATTTGTAGAGCTTGCATGTGTGGTTAGAGCAGGCACACTGCAGCCAACTTGGGGACCACTAAAAAGACCCATCAGCCACAAATGGGGAGATGTGTCTAGTATATAAGACAGAGATTTCAGGCAGCCCCCTGAAGCCCCCCTCCCGGCCATCCTGCACCTCCCCCCTCCCACATCCACCGCACTTCAGGCTATGCCAGGCTCTGGCAGCAGCTCAGACCCCTCGTCAGGATACACAATGATGCTGCAGTAAATGTCTGGGGTAGACACTTCCTTGGTTGGATCTCCCTCATCCTGCTTTCTGCCTGTAGGTGCTCTCTGGGGAGCCCCTGACAAGAGTCCTCCAGGAGCTACCAGTCTGGGGGCTCCAGCTGCCCCAGGCCCAACCTGAGGGCTGAAGAGAGCAATCTCCTTCCCCACCTGTATCCTATTTGTGACACACTAGAGTTTCCACCCAGACTAGTAGAATAGGAGAACCGGATTCAGCCAGAAGAGAAAGGCCAAAAACACTTCTCTGCCCCTTCTTCTACTCCCCAGTCCCATGGGAGGGCTAGCCTGGGTTCAAATCCCACTCCTCTTCCACCTACAGGCTGTGTGACCTTTAGCTACTAAATTACCCTCTCCGAGCCTCAGTCCCCGCCTCTGTAAAATGGGAACAATAGCATTATCCCATAGGATTATATGAGATGATACATGTAAAGTGCTTGGCACAAGTGAAGCCTCCGCAAATGTCGGCTCTTGTTGTTCATACACAGACAAACAGATACAAAGGCCACCAATGTGGTTACACATACACATGAAGATACACAAGCCAGAGGCCCAGAGCCACAGCCAGCTCACACATGGGCACACACACAGGATATACAGATCTGTGGCCCCATGGAGACACCCTGTCTAGGCTCTACCTTAGCCCAGCCCCACCCCTCTCCCCACAGGAGCCATCTGGATGGAGCTGGATCTGCCCTGCCCTACAGAGAGCTGCCCACGCAACAGAGGGAGACTTTTAAAGCACTCCCGCTTTGATGTGTCCATGCTGGTGGTTCCTGCAGACCACTCTGGAGGCCCAAGCTCCAGGCATGCAATGCCATGCCTATGGTTTCCCTTTTTTTATCTGGGGGATAGGAGGTAGGAGGAGGGGCCAGGAAAGGGTTTGTTATCCACAATCCACAAACACTCAGACACACCCACAGAGACACTGGCAAACCGAACACAAAGACCCATAAAACCCACTGCCTTCGAGCCCATTCTGACTCATAGCAACCCTTTAGGACAGAGTAGAACTGCTGCATAGGGTTTCCAAGGCTGTAATCTTTACGGAAACAGACGGCCACATCCTTCTGTTGCGAAGTTGCTGGTGGGTTTGAACCACTGACCTTTCAGTTAGCAGCTGAGCACTCAACCACTGCATCACCAGGTCTCCTGAACACAAGGACACCTACTCACAGGTTGCAGCTCCCGGCCCTGCAAGGAGGGAACCCGATAACCTCTCAAATCCAAATCCTCTAACTCCAATGGGAGGCTTCTTCCTCCATGCCATGCTTGCGTTAGCACTATTTCTGCTACCACCATGGCCACAACCCGTCTTACCAATATCACTACCACCATTACCATCATTACTGCTTTCACCACCACGCTCACCATCACCACCATCCTCACCACCGCTATCATCATCGCCTCCATTAACATCACCACTATCCTTCCACCACTATCACCATCACCTCTGTCAACATTGCCACTGCCATCACCACTACTATCACCTTCACCTCCATTAGCACCAACCCCACCACCAACATTATCACCTCCATTACGGTCACCACCGCCACTGCCATCACTGCACCATCATACCCTCATTGTCTGAACTGATGGAGGAGCCCTCTTGGATTCTGACACAGTGTGGACGGGCAGGAGGAGGGTGACATGCTTCACAGGAGCCCAGAGGTTCAGGCCCAGGAGCTCAGGCCTCTGCAGCAGCCCTGGATTCTTCCAGACCCCAACCCTGCTGGAGACAGTCTTCCAGGCTGTGTCTGAGCCTGCCCTCTCCCTCCCACACTCACAGAGAACTGGTGCAGCTTTGTGGTTTCCCATTGCAGGAGGTGGCTCTGGAGAGACAGCAGCTGGGAGGGGTGAGGAGAGGAGGGGTAGAACTCTGGCTCCGTCCACAGGATTGACCAACCAGCACCCTCTGGGTCAGCACCTGACTAGAAGTTTCCTCAAAGGGACAGTGACATCAGCTGCTGCCCTGAGCCCTGCCCGTCTCGGCTAGGAGGGCCCAGAGTCATGAGGTGGGCACCCAGTGGGCAGGATGGGCTGCTGGGGCCGTCTGTGAGGCAGTGGTGAGGTGGGAGGAGGGCCGTGGCCCCTCACGGGGGCAGGATGGATAAGTTTCGGATGATCTTCCAGTTCCTTCAGTCCAACCAGGAGTCCTTCATGAACGGCATCTGTGGCATCATGGCTCTGGCCAGCGCCCAGATGTACTCGGCCTTCGACTTCAACTGCCCCTGCCTGCCAGGCTACAATGAGGCGTACAGTGCTGGCATTTTGCTCGCACCTCCCCTGGTGCTCTTTCTGCTCGGCCTGGTCATGAACAACAACGTGTCCATGCTGGCCGAAGAGTGGAAGCGGCCGCCGGGCCGCCGGGCCAAGGACCCCGCCGTGTTGCGCTACATGTTCTGCTCCATGGCCCAGCGCGCCCTCATTGCACCTGTCATCTGGGTGGCTGTCACGCTGCTTGATGGCAAGTGCTTCCTCTGTGCCTTCTACACGGCCATCCCCGTGGCCACACTGGGCAATGGCAGCCTGGCGCCCAGCCTGGCTCCCCAAGAGCTTGTCCGCCTACTGGCCCGGGTGCCCTGCCCTGAGATCTACGACGGCGACTGGCTGCTGGCCCGAGAGGTGGCCGTGCGCTACCTGCGCTGCATCTCCCAGGTGAGGGGGCCGGATGGCCTTGGGCTGGGACTACCCCCACAGGCAGGGCCCCTCCAGAAAGACCCTGTCCCCCAACCCTCAGAATGAGGCTTCCTCAGGCCAGTCATATTCTGTCCCCCTCCATCGGACTGGAGCGCCTCAGACAGGTCTGAGTTTTCCTCCTCAGATGAAGTTCCTTGGGGCTGGGCATGTTTTCCCAACTTAGACAGGGCTTCTGAGGGCCAAACAGGTTTCTTCCCTCAGACAGGGGCCACCTGGAGAAAGTACTGTGGCTCTCTCAGGCCAGAAGCTTCCAGAGAGCAGGCCTGTCCCCTGTCCTGAGGTCTCCAGAGCCAGCCCCACATCCTCTGTTCTGAGCACCAAGCTTGGGAGTATTTGTATCCTTTTCTTCTTCCAAGCCTAGGCAGCCCTGAGGCTGGTGGGTGGTGGGGCCATTTGGATACATTTCCCTGGCAAATGTCTCCAGCTGGAATCTCCCTGCTTGGGCAGTGGGAGCTGAGGGCCGGGTTGCTCTGGAAGGCTGGGCTTGGGTGAGGGATATGACTGAAGCCAGGGTGAGAGTGCTCAGGTCCAGACCCCACATCCTCCCAGCCCCACTCCCCTGTCCTCTGCCCCTCTGGGCCCTCGCTAGTCTGAGCCTCTCCAGCTGCCCCTCCAGACCGCGAAGCATGGGAAGGGCAATGCTGGCAACATGCTCATGCAGCCAGAGGACCAGGCGATGTCAGGGAGAGGGGGCAGGGGCCTGGGCCTACAATCTAAGGGCTAGAGAAACATATGTACTCAGACACCCCCAGCTCCTCCTCTCCAGCCTGGACCTCTCTCCCACCAGGTCTCCATCACCCCCCAGATGCCCCATGTGAACCTCACACCCTGGGCATCTAACACGACTCTACTTCTCTCCACCCTGCACCTCCTCTCCTGTGGGCTACTTGCCCCATTATCCCAGGCCTTGGAGTCTGGGGCAACTGACCCTCTACCTGAATTTAAAACTATGAAATCATGCACAACTAGATGGTGCCCAGCTGCCACCACTGACTGCTCTGACAGGGATCACAATCGAGGGTCCCGGACAGAGCTGGAGAAAACTGTAGAACAAAATTCTAACTCACATAAAAAGACCAGACTTACTGGTCTGACAGGGACTGGAGAAACCCCAAGAGTATGGCCCCTGGACACCATTTTAACTCAGTACTGAAGTCACTCCTGCGGTTCAACATTCAGCCAAAGATTAGACAGGCCCATAAAACAACATAATACTAAATAGGCACACCAGCTCAGGGGCAAGGACAAGAAGGCAGGAGGGGACAAGAAAGCTGGTAATGGGGGACCCAAGGTCGAGAAGGGGAGAGTGTTGACACATTGAGGAGTTGACAACCGATGTCACAAAACAATATGTGTATTAATTGTTTAATGAGAAACTAATATGCTCTGTAAACCTTCATCTAAAGCACAATTAAAAAAAAAAAAATGAAATCGTAAGTTGCAAGTACCCCCAGAGATCACGGCTCCCTGGCCTATAGACAAGTTTCATTTGGCCTTCAGTGATGTTAAACTTTAGAATTACTCGACACATCTAAAAACCAAAAAATTTCACATAAAAATCAGATTTCCAGCTTCTCTTGAAACATCTGAAGATCCAGCCCCACCATGCCCACAGTTCTTCGTGGAATAGTGTGGGGATAGTGCCCCCCACCAAGATGGAGCACATGCTCTCCAGCTCCCCACTAAAAGTCTGCTCTGCCATCACCCGCCTGTCCCCCCATCCTGATCCGGCCAAACACTTCTCTGTGCAGATGGGGGCTTGACTCTGGAGCCCAGCTTTGGGGAGCCTTCTGTCCACACCCACAGTGGGTTATGAGCAGAGCAGAGCTAGAGCCCACTTGTCCCGTGCTCTTCAGCACAGAGTTTGAGTGCTTGAGTCCCTGAGGGCCCAGCTCAGAGCCCAGCATGGAGGAGGTGCTCAGTGAGTGCCTGGAGAGTGAATGGTAGACAGTACTAGGAGCCAAAGGAGAGCCACAGACTGAGAGGACGAATGGTTCCTGTCTTAGTTATCCCGTGCTGCTATAACAGAAATACCACAAGTGGATGGCTTTAACAAACAGAAATTTATTTTCTTACAGTTTAGGAGGCTAGAAGTCCAAATTCAGGGCGCCAGCTCCCAGGGAAGTCTTTCTCTCTCTGTTGGCTCTGGGGGAAGGTCCTTGTCATCAATCTTCCCTGGTCTAGGAGCTTCTCAGCACAGGGACCCCGGGGGCCAAAGGACACGCTCTGCTCCTGGCTCTTCTTGCTTGGTGGTAATGAGGTCCCTCTCCTCTCTGCTCAATTTTGTCTTTTATATCTCAAAAGAGATTGACTCAAGATACAACATAATCGTGTAGATTGAGTTCTCTCTCATTAACATAACTGCCTTTAATCTTGCCTCATTTACGTCATAGAGGTTAGGATTTACAACACATAGGATAATCACATCAGATCACAACCACACAATACTGGGAATCATGGCCTAGCCAAGTTGACACACATTTTGGGGGGACACAATTCAATCTATAACAGTCCCTGTGGCCTAGGGTGGTCAAGGAAGGCTTCCTGAAGGAAGATGTATGGTCAGCAGGGGCCTAGTGGCATCATAATGTCTAATGGTTACTGAGCACTAACTTTGTACCAGGCACCATGCTAAGTGAATTATCACATTTAGTCCTCGCAACAACCCTATGAAAGAGGCACTATCACCAGCCCCGTTTTACATGTGGGAAAACTGAGGCACAGAGAATTCAGGCACCTTTCTCCTGGTCAGCTAGTATGTAGTAGAGACAAGACTCAAACCCAGGCAGTCTAACTCTAGGTTCTGCCCACTGAGAGCCAGGCCTACATGCCAGGTGATTTACATATAGGATTTCCTCTCCACAAGGTGGGTACATCTACACCCATTTTACAGACAAGGAAATGGGAACCAAGAGGGGAAGTCACTTGCCCAGCCGGTGTTCTTTTCCCTAAGGACCCTGACATAGAGTGTTCGGTGGGGGGGAGTCTGTTTAGATGAGGGGGGCAAGAGGGCAATGCTGGCTGACTCTCTTCTCTGCTCCGCAGGCACTGGGCTGGTCCTTTCTGCTGCTGACCACACTGCTGGCCTTCGTGGTGCGCTCCATGCGGCCCTGCTTCACACAGGCCGCCTTCCTCAAGAGCAAGTACTGGTCCCACTATATCGACATTGAGCGCAAGCTCTTTGATGAGACATGCACAGAGCATGCGAAGGCCTTCGCCAAAGTCTGTATCCAGCAGTTCTTCGAGGCCATGAACCAGGACCTGGAGCTGGGTCACACCCACAGGGTGCTGGCCACAGCCACTGCTACCCCAGCCACCACTGACAGTGCTGGCGAGGAGAGGGAGAAGCTACGTGGCATCACCGATCAAGGCTCCGTGAACAGGCTGCTCACCAGCTGGCACAAGTGTAAGCCGCCACTGCGGCTGGGCCAGGAGGAGCCGCTGATGGCCAACGGCTGGGCTGGGGGTGGGCCCCGGCCCCCACGCAAAGAAGTAGCCACCTACTTCAGCAAAGTGTGAGCCGTAGTCAGCTAAAGAGGCAGGAATGAGGGTCTGAACCCACAGCCCCTCAGACCCGCAAACCAGATGGAAAAACAAAGGCTGTAGGTGCTGGGCAGTAGGCCCCTGGAGCAGACCCACATACCCAGGCCTGCCCATTTGAGGCAGGAATTTGGATGTAGGCCCCAGGACATTACCCTGGATGGCCCTAGGGCAGGGAGACCAAGAGCAGTATTAGTCAGAAGGGCTCAGAACTGGCTTGGGGGTTATGGGGAGAGATGGTTCCCACCTGCCTAGTCACTTGTCATACCAATTCTGGAGCCACTGGCCTCATCCCTGGTTCATTATCCCCTCTTAGGTCCTGGGAGGGTCGCTGCCCCAGCGTCCACTGTTGTCTGTGGCTTTTTAGGAGCCTGTTCCCTTGTGCTCAGGGCTCAGGAAGTGGAAGAGCTTCCAGCCCTTGCATGACGCAGGAACACTCTGATTTTGGCCAGAGTGTCCTGAGTGAAGCTGAGCAGGCTAGACCCAGATGGACTGTGAGGACACAGCACATGGCCTCACCTGGTGTGAATACCTGGGGTGACAGTTGATGGGACAAGATGCTGGAAGCCAGGTCCACCCGAGAGAAGCCAGAGTGTGTGGTCATCACAGAGATCACTTGACGACTGTTGAGATGGACTGCACATTTATTCAGCACCAAGCTCCAAAGGCCACCCACGTAGGGAAAGGTGGGGGGGGGGGGTAGTCCTTAAAGACCACCCTAGTGCCCCCTCACATCCAGGTAGCTGTCACAGAGGAAATCAGACCACGCCCAGGGCTTGAACAACTAGAAACAGAAGTGATGACTCCTCATTTTCTCAAAAACCACACCTCCTGGGGAGGGGACTCTAAAGTGCTAAGACGCTCTGCTCTGAAGTAAGGGTACAGGTGGTGGGATGGGAGGGGAGCTACCTAGAGTGGAAACAGCACAGACTATGGAGTGAGACAGAACTAGGCCAAATGCTGGTTCTAGCACTTACAAACTGTGCCTCTGGGCCAGTTGCTTCATTTTCTGTGCCTCAGTTTCCTTATCTATGAAATGGGGATAAGGGCACCTACCTCATAGGGTTATCGCGAGCATTAAATGAGTGAAGTATGTAAAATCACATGGCACATGGGAGGCACTCAGTACATGGTGGCTAACGGGTTTGTTCGTTCCTGAACCTGAGGACATCCTCCTCCCTCGGGCAGAGGAAGAGAAGATAAGGAACTGAAGCAACTCAAGCCCTCTTTGTGAAGGAAGAGGAAACTGAGGGCCAGACTGACTTTTTGTTCCACCCCCCACCCAGGATATCTTTGAGACATAAGCCCACCCATCACAGAATTCCTTGATCTTGGTCCCTACAACATTGTTTTAATGATTTCCATCCTCTCTTATGCACTTTACCTCTGTTCCCAGTCTGAGACCCAGTGTCCCTCCCGTTAATCATTTGGGAGAAAGGAGATCCCTGTAGGCCAAGGTGGGCTGGGAGGCCACCCCAGGAAGTGGGACCTGGAGTGGCCCCTGAAGGGGAAGGATTCAATGAACTAAGGCCAGGTTATGTGTTGGTTGGGGTGGGAGAGGGACTGCCAAATAGGAAAGAAAGCCTGGAGGAAGTGGGAGGTACAGGTGTGGAAGGAAGAGCAGAGCTTTGGGTCTGGCTGGCCTGGGCTCAAACACTAGAGCTGTGGGTCCTAAGGCAAGTCACCTAACCCCTCTGAGCCTCAGTTTGTTTGTCTGTAAAATGGATATAAAAACATCTGCTTTTCAGGATTATGGTGAGGATAAAGGGAGATAAATTTTGGGGAAGGATCTGGAGTGATAACAGGGGCTGGGGGTCACCTTGCCTGATCCTGGGGGTCATCTAGCCTGTCCTTAGACAGGATACTCCTGTTCAGCATTCCTAACCCATGACTCTTCAGCTTCCCTTGCACACTCCCACAGACAGGAAGCTCATGACCACCTTTTGGGACAGGCTGGGCAGTGCTGATTTTTACAAATGGGCTTCCTTCATAAACCTGCCTTCTTGTAATTTTCACCCACATTCGGAGATCTGCCTGCAGGGCCTCAGAGACTCCCTGGACTCCTGGATTCACTTGTCAGTCCTCCAGAGATCTGAAGCGGTACCGGGGGAGTCAGCTGAACTATGGGTAGAAGAGCCGGCAGGGAGAGGGTTTGCCCAGGCAGTGGCAGGACAGTTCTGAGTGAAAAGGCTGGGAAGCGCCCAGCCTTGGGTGCTCTGCAAGGGGTCAGTGTTGGTCTGATGGCACCTCTCCCCTGACCCTGCTGGGATCTCCTTCCGGAAGCTTCTGCCTGGTGGGGGTCAGGCATAGGGGTGCTTTTGAAACTGGCTTGGAGGGCAGGTCTGAGGCCAGAGCTTCCTGAAGTCTTCAATGCCTGGTCCCTGCTGACACCCCTCCTCCCCTCGCTGGTCCCACTGGAGTGAAGTCAGGTCTGGTCGGGGCAGGGCCGAGGGCGGAGGGTCGGCATTGCTCAGGGAGGGCGAGCAGGCCCGGCCCCAGCAACACAGGACAGACGCAGCAGCTGCCAGCAGGCGCCTGCACTTCCTCCCTCACCAGCACTGCCACCGCCTCCTCTGCAAGCTGCAGGCAGGCGCGCGGACGCTGTTTTTCCACTCGCTGCCGCATGTTCCATCCCACTGTTTCCTCCTCTCTTTTCTGGAGCTAAACTTTTCTGAAGGCGCCACCAGCCTGGGGCCTGCTGGTCTCAGACGAGTTCCTGTGCTGGCCGGAGAAGCAGAGAGAAGACAAGAGAGAGGAGCTGCAGCGGCACGGGATCAGGCTGGGCCAAGGGGCAGCTGCTCTACCAGTGGCTAGAGAACCACGCCCGGGGCTCCAAGAGCCCAGCCCGGCCAAGACCCAGGCCACAGGTGCCTGCAGCCAGCTCCAGGTAAGGAAGGGTCCCTCCCTGGGTCAGCCAGGTACCAGGGGAGCAAAGTAGAGTTTCTTCCAAGCTGCCCAGATGGATTGTCCTGGGGAGAGAGAGGCCCCTAGCTGAGGCCCCTACTGGGGCGGGGTCAATCCTATCCCAAGGAGGTCCCACTCCAGGTCTGGGTGGGGCCCTGCCCTGGCTTGTGGGGCAGAGGCAATAGCCTCAGATGGCGGCCTGGCTCATCCTTTGCTCAGCACCCACTCCTGTGCACGCATCCTGCTACTTTGGGTAGGTTTGTGAGGCCAGGGCCCCCACCCGGAACTAATCAGAAGCCTTGAAGCCAGGAGAAGAGGAAGGGGAGGTGGGGTTGCATTTAACCTGTTCATCCCCAGCAAAACTACAAACCCTCTTTCCCAGGGAGCAAGACTGGAGTTCTCAGCCCATGAGTTGGGGGAAGAGTCAGACACCCCCACTTCCTCCTGGTATCCCGTGTGGCCATATGGCTCTGCCCAGGCCTATACTGACAGCCCTGACAGAGACGGTGGTGGTGATAGAGATGAGGGCACAGAAGCGAATATGGGCAGATATCCCACCTTTGCTTGCTGCCCACCCCAACTCTCCTCTACCCGGCTTCCTCTGGCCTGGGGACCTTTGTTTTCCATCCCTGAGATGAGGAGAGGGACGTAGGGCCACACCCGGGGCTGTCTCTGGCTCTGTGTGGGTGGAGCCTGGGAAGAGAGTTGGTCTGGACATCTCTGGAGCCTGAACCCATGACCACTTCCTGGTGGGTGGCCAGCTCCACTGCAGCCCTGATAAGGCAGAGAAGCCTCAGGGTGCCACTGAGTCTTCACCTAGGTTTCCCATAAAGTCTGCTCAGTGGGAAGAGGCCATGGCTGGGGAAGGGGAAAACACGCCAGGGCTTGCCAGGCTCCCGTGGGCAGGCAAACCAACGTCAGGAGGAGACAGAGAAAATGGAGGGCTCTCTCAGCTCAGCCTCACCCTTTCCACATCACAAGCCTCCTTAGGTCCTGGTCAGAAGTTCTGCCCAGGCACCTGCATATTTGAATGGCCTCAAGCAAGGCACTTCCTGTTAAGGTCTTAGTTTCCTGATCTTTGCAGGGAGGAGAATCACCCTCCATCTTTCACCCTGCTGGAGTCACTTCTGGGAGCCACTGTGAAGATCCAAGAGGTTGAGAGAGTTGGAAGAGATGGGGGGTTTCACACACAGGACAATTTTCAGGCATCATCTGTTCCATTTCTTTTCCCTCCAACATCCCTAAGAGGAGAGCAAGGACCAGAATGATTTATCCTCTTTTCACAGATGAGGAAACTGAGGCCTAGATAAGTCATGAAGTATGTTAAAAGCCAGTATCTTCTAAACGAGTTCAGAGCCTGAGGTTTCCAAAATGAAGCAAAAGGTTCTTATGAACTCTAGGGATGCTGGAGTCTCGCTGTGTTAGGCTCACCACTGACTGGAGGCCCCTACCTCCACCCCACCCCACATCCCAGGATTAAGTCCACCGGGACAACCACGGACAACCACTCCAGCTTTTATACCTATGGGGCTAGGGGTCCTGAAGATATATCCCCCAAAGATTCCCAGGTCTTTCAGTACATTAACACTACCTGGAATCCCAAGGGGAAAGCTTGTCAGCATCCCACATTCCCCAACACCACAGGGCCATTCCCAACCCCTACCCCTAGAGAAGTCTGTGGTGGCAGAAAGAACGTAAGTGTTTGAGGCAGGCAGTCCGGGGTTTGAATCTCAGCTCTGCCACTTGGCAAGTCACTCACCTTCAGTGAGCCTTCACCTTCTCTTGTGTACAATGGGGATAATAACATAGTCATCTCACAGGGAGTTGTAAGGATGAGCAATAAGGGGTGAAATTCAATGAACAATGTTGTTATTGTTAGCTGCTGTAAAAATGGCATGGCAGAGGTGTTTGACGTCCTCTAACTTCACAAGGTGAAAGGAAAATCAAGATCAACAGTCTAAGGCTGATTTCTACAAGGCAGAGGTCAGATATGCCCCATCTTTACCTATTTTGACACCAATCACCCCTCCCACGGCACTCTCTACTTCTGGGCTGGGTTCGATAATTCATTGCAATGGCCACACTGAACTCACAGACAATATTCATGATTATGGTGTTTATTAGGGAAGTAACAGGTTACAATTCAGGTTCACGAAATACTTAGCATACAGTTCTTTGATCAGGACAGCTTATTCTCAGCTGCGGTCACAGGCAAGTCTCTCTCTGGCCCTCAGCCCCTCAGCCCAGCCTCTGCCCTGCTCAGGCACATGTTACAAAGCTCTTTTAGCTCTGCCTATAAGTGCCCAGAGGCACCCCTCTCCACCAGTAAGCTTCATGCTCCAAGGTGCTCAGCTTTCTTGCTCTGTGGGCCAGGATGCCCACCGCACCGTCTCCTGCCAGTCTCCTGGTTCTGCTGCCACCGTTTCTCTGCCACTGCTTCTCCCTGTCTGTCCTGGTTCTGCTGCCTCTGCTGCCTCTCTCTGTCTTCTGTGTTACAGCTGATCTCTCTCTTTCTCCACACCTCCCTGTAAGCCTAGCAGTGTGGTAAAACTGACCCATCCCCTTGTTAGGGTTCCGTATACCTTATTTGCACGGTCCCATCCCCACAAGGGAGCCCTGGTGACACAGTGGTTAAGCGTTTGGCTGCTAACCAAAAGGATGGCACTTTGAATCCACCAGCTGCTCCTTGGAAACCCTATGGGGCAGTTCTACTCTGTCTTATAGGGTCGTTATGAGTTGGAATCGACTCGACAGCAGTGGGTTTGACCCCCACAAGGATGCCAGGTACCTTATTTACATTATTAGCAAACTATCCAATCCCTTTGGTGAGCCATAAGCACCTCATTTGCATAGTCCCACTTGATTATTTGGTGGGAGTTACAAAGACTATGACTAGAAGGGTCATATTAAGTAATTCACTGCACCACAGGCTACCCCCTGGCTCTTCTAGCCATTGGCCCATTCACACTTAAAGGGTTAATTTCCCCCTCAATCATTATACCAGTCCACAACAGTCATTAGCAATTAGTCCTTCAGTAGGGCAAAGAGTCCTGGGGTAAGGTTACTCAGGGTGAGGTTACTCAGGTATTGGCCATTCAGGTCTGCTGCAGGTATCCATCTGATCTGGTCAGATTCTCCAAAAGTCACCTCAGCTTCACCCCCCTGGGCCTCCAATAAAATTATACTGACAGAAGATTATTCCCTTGCTTTTGAGAGCCTCTGAGCCTCAGGAGGTTTCAGCATAGCAAAACTTTTAAGGGACTTTAGGTTCAGCCACTATACTCCAGTCCAGCAGTTCCTCACCCTTAGTCCACTCTTTCACAGTTACTCTTCTACAATTAGTTTTTACAATCACAATTAACTCTGTTAACAATCAACACTCACAACTGAATCATATAATCCTATCAGCATCTTCCCCTATACTCTCTTCCCCAGACCCATTCTCCTTGTCCCCCTCGTTCTGAGTCTAAGCACACCCATGAAAGTGTATAAACCAGCCACTTCATGCCTTTATCTACCCCCCATTCTAGACAACCTATGTCTAAATGTCCATCCCTATCAAACCAGTACTCTGAGGAAACAAGCATGTTCCTTTATCTAAAGAATCTTCTATTCCAGTTGGAACTTTGAGCATCTGCATCCATAAGCATAGTCCAGAGCAAGCCGTCAAATTGCAGCAGTCTACACCAGATCACAGTGTCAAACATCTTTTCTTCTTTCAGTCATGTTCTGGTCAGTTCATCCCTAGCCCCTGTGGGCTAGGTCAATGGGTACCAGCCATTGGCTCAGGAGTCCACACATCTCCCAGCACTTCAGACCAACCAGTCCCTTCTCTCTCTCTCTCTCTCTCACCCCCATGGGGGGATGGGGGAATGGGGGGCTAGGTCAATGGGCACCACTCATACGCTCAGGAGTCCATACAACTCCCTGCACTTCAGACCAGCCAGCCCTTTCTCTCTTTTTCTTTCATCCCTAGCCCCTGTGTGCTAAGTCAGTGGGCACCAAAGGAACATGTCCAAACTCAGCCAGTCTTCATTGCAGCACCTCCTCCACTTCCACTCTTTGAGTGAACCCAGGTGGTCACCACAAGCAAGCATACCAGGCTGTCTACTTGCCAGCTCCCTTTAACTTCCAGTCCTGGAAGGGGTTTTTTTGGATGGGCACCGACTCATTGCAATCCCATTTACAACAGAATAAAATGTCACCTGGTCCTATGTCATCTTCATGATCACATGTTCAAGTACAGTGTTGTAACCACTGTGAATTTTGAGTGACTTCCAACCGAGGGGGCTTATCTTCCAGCACTGTATCAGACAATATTCTGTTGTGATCCACAGAGTTTTCATTGGCTAATTTTCTAAGTAGATCACCAGGCCCTTCTTCCTAGTCTGTGTTAGTCTGGAAGCTCTGCTGAAACCTGTCCACCATGGGAGGCCCTGCTGGTATTTGAAATCCCAGTGGCATAGCCTCCAGCATCACAGCAACATGCAAGATACCACAGTATAACAAACTGACAGATAGGTGGTGGCAATGAACAGTAGTGACCATTATTTCTCCCAGGTCCACAGGCCCCCCACAAAACTCTTTCCTTTCTCACCAGCCTGGCCACACAAGCATCCTCTTCAATCTCCGTTTTCAATGGCAAACATTTATCAGGCATCTGCTGTTCCACAGGAAGCACCAGGCCAACCACTGTAGGGGATAAAATGGCAAGACTGTGCCCTGCCTTCAGGTGCCCAACAGCCTGAGCCTCTTCCTAGTCCCACCAGGAATCATCAATCTCAGTCTCCTGCCTCCATCCTGCAGCTTTCACCATGGCAGCCCTGATTGCAGAGAACTTCCGCTTCCTATCACTCTTCTTCAAGAGCAAGGATGTGATGATTTTCAATGGCCTGGTGGCACTGGGAACAGTGGGCAGCCAGGAGCTGTTCAGTGTGGTGGCCTTCCACTGCCCCTGCTCACCGGCCCGGAACTACCTGTACGGGCTGGCAGCCATCGGTGTGCCCGCCCTGGCTCTGTTTCTCGTTGGTGTCATCCTCAACAACCACACTTGGAACCTAGTTGCTGAGTGCCAGCACCGGAGGGCCAAGAACTGCTCAGCTGCTCCCATCTACCTACTCCTGAGCTCCATCCTGGGCCGTGCAGCCGTGGCCCCTGTTACCTGGTCTGTCATCTCCCTGCTGCGCGGTGAGGCTTATGTCTGTGCCCTCAGCGAGTTCGTGGACCCCTCTTCACTTACAGCCGAGGAAAAGGCCTTCCCACCAGCCCATGCTACCGAAATCCTGGCCAGATTCCCTTGCAGGGAGGGCCCTGCCAACCTGTCAGTTTTCCGGGAGGAGGTCAGCCGCAGGCTCAAGTATGAGTCCCAGGTAAGGAGCTGTGCAGAGGGAAACTCCCCCTCCTCCTTCTCTAGGTGGTGGTTGGTGGGGAGGTGCTGGGGTGGCCCAGTTGTAAAACTGGAGTTGGATCCTCAGGAGCTGAGGTCTCCAGGAAGCCACTAGATCCTATCAGCGTCAGTTTATCAGAGCTGATTAATCCAAGGGTTAATGCTTAGCGGAGCAAGAGCCAATTCCAGTCCCAAATAAGCCAGATAGTTTTAAACATTAAAGGAACATTCTCTGGCTCAGCCTGAGCCAAGATCCCAGTCAGATTAAGTCCTTTACCCCAGCTTGGACCTCTGCAAGCCACCTAAAAAACATTTGCTATTGGCCATGAGTTGACAGTGGAGTGTGGTGGGCTCCCAGGACCAGCAAGTTACTATCCCAGGAAGGGCCCAGGCCCCCCACTAAGTCAGGCTCAAGAGTTGCTGACTTGAGCCTCTTGCTAGGAGGAGGGATCAACAGTCAGGAATGAAGCAGCTGTTGCCCTGATCCCACCCTCAGCTTCTCCTTAGCTCTGAAGGAGTTGATGACTCCAAGAGTGGAAGTTGTCGGGGGAGAGAGGGCATGGGAGGAGAACTGGGCAGAAGCAGAAAAACTGAGCTGGAAGTGTTAACTTAGTGAAGCAGGAGGTGAGGGAGAGACAGGAAGGAGCATAAGATTTTCTAAAGGTCTCTTCTCTTAGGCATATAAGGAACACAAGTAGACAGAGAAACAGGGCTGGAGCCAGCACCAAAGGAGACGGGAGCTGGTAGTCAGAAAGAGCAAAATTCACTTGATTCTCGTCAAATGCCCACAGACCTCTGTACAAGTTCAACTGGGGAAACAAAGGTGAACTTCACTGCCCTTGTCCTCAACAGGCTTACACCCAAGCAAGTGTTTGAGACAAGCACGAGTGATCTCAAAACAAGGCAGATGATAATGAAAGACGAACCAGGCCATGGGGGTTTCAGGCAAGGCAAGATTGCACCCAGAGGGACCTTGGAAGGCTTCCTGGAGGTGGCATCTGGGCTGGGCCTGGCAGTTTGACTGGATTTTGAAGGGCTGAGATGATGTGGGGGGAGGGGTGGGCCCTTAGGGCCGAAGGAATGGCAGCAGAAAATGCAGGAGGCAGTGTAGAACTGTGAAAGAGACAGCAGAGACAGTGCTAAAGGGGGTAAGGAAGAAGAGGTGGAATCCCAGCCAGAAGGGCCCAGCTCCCCTTTCAGAAGCAGAATCTGAGGCCAAGGAAGTTACAGAGCCAGGAGACTCTCAGGCCTGTGTTCAGTCCAGCCCACCCCCTCTGACCAGCTACTTACTTCTTGGGGTAGTAGGGGTCCCAGGCAGCCCCTTGCCCCTACTCAGTCCTGCCTACTCTCTGGCCAGCTCTTCGGGTGGCTGCTCATCGGCGTGGTGGCCATACTGGTGTTCCTGACCAAGTGCTTCAAGCATTGCTGCTCACCACTCAGCTACCGCCAGGAGGCCTACTGGGCGCAGTACCGGGCCAACGAGGATCAGCTGTTTCAGCGCACGGCTGAGGTGCACTCGCGGGTGCTCGCCGCCAACAACGTGCGCCGCTTCTTCGGCTTCGTGGCGCTCAACAAGGATGATGAGGAGCTGGTTGCCAAGTTCCCAGTGGAAGGCACACAGCCACGGCCACAGTGGAACGCCATCACCGGCATCTACCTGTACCGGGAGAACCAGGGGCTCCCACTCTATAGCCGCCTACACAAGTGGGCTCAGGGTCTGGCAGGCAAAGGCTCAGCCCCTGACAACGTGGAGATGGCCCTGCTTGCCTCCTAAGTGTCCTGTTCCGGCTCTCTGCAAAGGACATTACTTGGTACCAAACTGAACCCCACTGCCTACTCACATCAGAACAGGATTTTTTTAAACCATAGCTTCTTGGGGAAACAGGCCAGGGGAAAGGAACACAAGGTGACCTGGAGTAGGGATGACAAATCTAGCAGACAATGTGGCCAGCTGATGGGAAGGCTCTCAGACCTGAAGAAATCCCCTCTCCTGTTACCACCAGCTCACTTGGTCAACAGCTTTGGGGAAAACACTCTTTCCCAGAACTGGTCCTTAATTCACTATGAAGATCTTTTACTGGTGGGACTCCAAGGCTGGTAGACCCCAGCCAGCAAAGCCAGGTGACAATGACACTCACCAATACGCTCCTTGTGCAGTTAATTTGTGTCTAATTGCATATATGGAAATGACCAGGTGCACAGCTGGGAAGCTGCCCTCCAACAAGGTATGCCGATGGCCTTATTTTATGTATTTCAATTTTTGATAAAGCTTCTTAATATAAAGGACTAGCTTGGTGTCAGCATGTTTGAATGGCTGTGGGAGGAGAGGGACAGGGAGACTGTGGGCAGGACTGCAACAGGCTGACAGGGCAGGAGGGGTGCAAGGGGCATCAGGTGCTCCCACACAGGGGAGGGCCCTGGGGCTGCCGATCTCCTGCAATGGGACTCCATTCGCTGATTTGATCTGAGGAACAAACGGAGCCTTGCCTCTCTCAGAGGGAAGCTCAACTTGAAATGTCAAGTCTCAGAGATCTTGCACTCACTAGGGCAGAACCAACTCTTGTAACTTAGGGCTAATGTCCGAGAACCAGGCCAGCTGGCTTCTACTCCCTCTTGTCCCAGCCCTTGGCTGATCACCTCCACCACTCCCCTCTCAAACCTTCACTCCTCTCCCTGTCCCTGTCCTGCTTCCTGGCACATGACTCAGTCATTTCCCATGGAAAAATTCTCCAGCTCTCAGGACATTTCAGATGCTGCCAAAGAAAACATTCAATTCCCTCGAGACAAAGCCAAAAAGAGAACTGGCTTCACAAACTAGCTGTGTTGGCCTCCAAGAACTTTGGAATGTAAAGGAATACATTATCAAAGGGGGTGGTGAGGGCCGTTGCACAGAAGTTTGGGGTGCCAGTGGACCCCGTCATGTGTCCCTGCACTCATGAAGCCTATCAATTCACCCTGCCCAGAAAGCTCTCCCCATAGGAGCTGTAAGGAGCACAGAAACTGTGTGATGCTCCCCAAAGTCACAAAGCAAGTCAGCCTCAGGGTTGACGAAGGAGATTAATGTTGTGCAGCGACTTCCTACCTGCCATGCTCTGTGACATAACACACATTTTCTCATTTAATCCATACAATAACCCTTGAGGGAGGAATTTTGAAGTCCATTTTACAAATGAAGAAACAGTCTTGGAGAAGTTAGGTATCTGGTCAAGCTGGGCCTGGGATGAGTCATCAGGTGGGCTAAACCAATACCTGTGGCTTACCTCTTAGCCACCCAGGTTTCCCAATTTTCCCTCTTGGGCTCTGCCTTGGTCCTCCTGCCCCAGCCAGACAACCCCCACAAAAAGGCTCAAGGTACTAGCTGAGCTGAGGCCAAGAGAATGCCCAGAGACTCCGAGATCAGACCTGGGAACAGGGAGGGTGGGCCCTGATGATGCCTCTGGCTGGACCAAGAGCTGGCCAGGGACATAGGGGAATCCTGGCCCCAAGAGCCTCAGGAGTCAGCCCCTCCACTCCTGCTCCTCAGGGAACTCCCAGGAAGGAGGGACACAGTTCTTCTGGGAGCCTTAGAGCCTGTCTGCCTGCAACCACTCAGCAGCCTCAGAAAAAAAAGATGAAATAAATTGGTACTCAAAACAAAAAGGAATTAAAAGAAATCTCAAATTCTTTTTCATCCTGACAGGATTACTCAAAGGCTGCTACAAAAAAGCAGCACTTAAATACTGTTCTCAGGCAACAGAACATCTCACCTGCCCAGGCGCCTGAGGCAGGGCAGGGCAGGGCAGCTCCTGAGTGCCCCTCAGGGGCCAGGCAGCCACTAGTCCTCCAACACTGAGCTCTTAGCCTCCACGTACTCCAGGGCCTTCGCCTTCACTGCCTGCACATCCTTCTCGGTGCCGTGCTGCTTCTCATAGTCCAGGTAGCGCTTGAAGAAGAATTTCATTCGCTTGGGGGCCAGGCTCAGGTGAATGACCCGCTCAAAGATGTCCCTGTGAAGAAGAGCAGGGCATCAGCCTCATGGTCGCAAGCCACATGATTCCTGGCTGGCACACACACATAAACTCTGCTCTGAGTCCCAGGCCCTTTGCCGCTAAGCACTCCCACTTCTACCTTTATTTTCACTACCATTATTGATTTCCATGACAACCTTGGGAAAAGAGGTAACAACACCTCATTTTCCAGATGAGCAGAACGATACCCAAAGATGTCAAGAGACTTACTTGCCTGAAGCCACAGAGTGAATCAGGACAAAGCTACCGGGTTGGGGATAATGAGGTGTGGCTCTGGAGAAAAGCACTGCCTTAAAGCTACTGAAGCACCTTGGGTCCTCCAAGGCACCTCCTATTCTTTCTGGACCTCAGTCTACCTATGGCTAACCCTCCCTGCCTTGTGAAAACGCAGGGGGCAAAAGCGAGAGGATGTCTGTGAGAGTGAGTTCCCTATAATGAGAGCCAGGCACAGTGCTAATTAGGAGAGAACCCAAGTCTCCCGGCTCCCAGACCAGGGGCCGGGCCACTTCCCGCCCACGGTTCCAGACACAGACCAGGCAGAGGCCAGCCTCTGAGGCAGAAAAAGAAGCTGAAAAAATGAGCACCATAGGACCTAATGCGTCATGTCAAAACTGTTTCCAGATGAGTAAGAGAACTGGAGATGCCGGGCGCTGCTCTAGGGTGAAAAACAAGCTTGGTCAGTGCCCTCGTCCCCCGGCAGGGAATCCAGCCTGCTGTCTTCCCCCTCACCGGACTTCCTTCTGGCTGCCATGCTTGATGCTCATGTCGATGTACACCGACCACACATCCGTGCGCTTTGGGTAGGTGCTCAGTGTGTTCTCGAAAATGGCTTTGGCCCGCTCCACGTCCCCCAGCTGGAACTCAAGCTGGGCAAACTTGGCAATCACATCCACATCTGCAGGGAGAGGGCAGCTCAGAAACAGTAAGCAGACAGGCCCTTCTCACAACACAATGGGCTAAAGGGACAAGAGTGAGTCGGGCTCCCTGCTGTTGGGTCCCAAGACCCAGGTTATGACAAGCGGAACAAAGCCTCAACAGGACAGTGGGTGGCTTTAGGGCCAAAGGCCAGTACACAGATGGGCACCGACCTGAGACTCCCACCACAGACACCCTACCCTCTGGGCCCAGAAGAGGTGGTGGTGGTGGGGGTACCCCAAGGGCAACAGAATTAGTGCTATTTGGCTTTTGTTCCTCCATTCTTTGGCGTTCTTTCTGGCATTTGAAATGCAACGAGCATTCTTATGCTCACGAGCATACGATCAAGAGAGATAACTGTGTACCCCCGACAAGGCTGTCCTAACTGAGGCAACACCACTGTGGATGAAAAGACGCCCAATCCCTACTCCCAGATCCAAGAGAGCCACTCAGGAACTGGGCCAGCTGGTGGGAATGGGCACTTACGCTCCTTCTTAGGCAAGCACTCAAGGGCTCGCTGTAGCATGCGGTGACTGGCACCAGCGTGGCCCCTCCGCAGAAGGAAGGAGCCGTATTTGATCCAGACAGCTTTCTCCTGCCGGAAACGCTTCAGCATCCGGTTGTAGAGTTCACCAGCTTCCTGTAGGAAAGGATAAGGTAAGCTGAGGAGATAACTACAATGGGGCAGCAATAGGGACTGGCAGTGACGCTCATGAGAGTCTAGATGGGCTCACAGACTCCAAATAAGTATCTGGGCCTAATTCTAGATATCCAAGGGAGGGCTCAAGACAAAGCAGAACACATAAAATGATGTGGGGTCATCCTACTAATCCTGTGCCAATAAAGGGGTTCTGAGACTAGAGGAAGAAATGTGACAATGACAAAAGGGCATGGGAGAGATGGAAAAGAGGGCAGTGGGCTGAGATGTCACCTTCTGTCCATAATGCTCCATCAGCAGCCCAAGAGATACACTCAGGGGTCCACTGGCCCTTCACTTCCACTGCTACCACAACCCTCGTCTTCACCCCACCTCCTCAAGTGGATATGAAAGACAGAACTTCCTTCACTTGGAAGATGAGGAAGCTGGGCCCAGACATCCCATAGCAATCCTGAGGCAGGACTGGATCCTGAGCCCCAGGCCTCTTCCCCGAGAATGCTGCCTCTGTGATTCCCAGGAGTTAGGTTCTGGGAGGCCGAGGACCCTCTAGCAGCTGCCCACCTGGCCTAGACCCTTACCTGGAATTTCTCTGACTTGGTGTAGATGTCAGCCAGGTGCAGAAAGACTTTGAGAGGCTCGTTGTACTGCACAGCCCGCTCAAAGACCTTAGTCAGTGACTCCTGAGAGCCATACATGTTCTCCAGGTTCAGCAGTGCCACCCACACATTCAGCTTCTCCTGCTCCTCTCTAAGGAAGAGCAGTCAGCACATAAGCTCCACCAGCCCAGCCCAACAAGCCCCCCACTCCCATCCAGGATCAGTGACTGGAACCACTTCTATGTCCCCAGTCCCCACCCCCGAGTGCAGGCACTGAGTGGCCCTGTCCCCACTGCAGCTCACACAGAAGCAGAAGCCCTCCTCACCCCCAACTCCTGGGCGGGAGGCTCCCTGGTTCCTGCCTCCTTTCTTGGGAAGGAAGCCTACAAAATCTCAAACTAGCCTGAGGTTCAGGCTAGAAAGAGCAGGATCTTGGGTCTAGTTATCTCCCCAAACCAAGAGACTGAGGCAAAAGATCTGCCATCTCTCTTCAGCAAACTAACTTGACTTTCTGAATGGAAAATTTAGGGTTTCCACAAAGGTAACCCTAAATGTGCAGAGTTTTTTTCCTGCTCTGCTTCTGCTCCAAACTGGGTACCTTATTTAAGTGTGGGGACTCTTGTAAATGTTACCTGTAGCTATTTCAGTGAGGAGGACTATAAAATATAAATGAGCAGAAGATCTATTTCACAGATGGTCACACCTATGAGAGAAAGCCTGAGAACCCATGGGCCCCTGGTGGCAGCCACCCAAACTGTAGTCAGCCTG